ATTATAAACTCCCATGTATTCAGAGGCTGTTTTAACCAAAAACAAAATTTGTTAATTGCCAGTCAATTCTGTCTCAGAAACCCTACAGGACAGAGTAGATGTGCCCCCATAGAATTTCTCAATCCTGTGAGCCGTTGGCAGGTTCAAGCCACTAATTTATTGGTTAGCAAACAAGCTCTTAACTATTGTGTCAGCAGGGCATCCTTGAAGCTGTAGTGTGTTTTCTTTAAGATAAGAGACATTAAAATAGAAAATAAAGTTTTGTGGGATTATCTTTAAGTATTTCTAGTCTATTTTTTATCTATGGTTGCAATAGAAGTATTTTCTATATCATGAGTAAGGGATAGAAGTTTAGATTGCTGGCATTCTCTTCATTTCTGCATCTTATCAGTAGACTTATTTTTACTTATCTTTCCTATCACCCTTGGACTCCTTGTGTGGTGCTTGCTGTAGGATCAGCACTAGACTGCAAACCACAAAGTCAGCAGTTCAATCCCACGACCTTGGAAACTCTGTACAGGGTTGTTATGAGTTGGAACTGACTCAAAGGTACTTAACAACAACAATCTCCCTTATAAACATGTTTATGTATTAAGATTTTGTAAAGATAGTGGTGTGGTGTCCTTAGATCTCCTTGCCTAACTCATGAGGTAGGAAAATCACTATCAATATCATCTGAAAGCTGATTTCTGTGAGATAGTTTTTGTTGTTGTTGTATGCCATGAGGCTTTATGCTCATGTTGTATGCCATGAGGCTTTCTGCTCCCATAAAGATTTACAGCCTGGGAAACCCTGTACAGGGTCACTATGAGTCGGAACCGACTCCACGGCACATAACAAGAACAACAACAACAAATCTTTATGGGAGCAGAAAGCCTCATCTGTCTCCCACAGAACAGCTGGTAGTTTTGAACTGCTGACCCTGAGGTTAGCAGAGAGGTGTCAGATATTCCTCCTCTCTCCATGTCTGACACCAGTCTAACGTCCCACGACTCTATTGTGCTGTGTTTTGTAAACTCTAACAGTAGCCCACAGTTATCATCTGTACTCACAGTTCCAGGAATGATTAGGGAAATTAACAGATCACAATTCTGGATACAATGTTGTGGTCAGAACAGCTTCTTTCTCATCCATGCCCACATGCAGATCCCTCTCTCTCTCCTGATGCTCCTTTACTCTACTTAGGTAAGTGATACAAAGCTCTTTAGCTCTACTAATAACTGCTTGGAGATAAGGAGGTAATTCAATTTGAAGGCACTCAACTCTTCCATTCTGTGAGTGAGTGCCTGGAAGCCTTGTAGCAAAACTCTCACAAACCCACTCTAGCATACTGACTGCAGCTACCTTTCCCTGTCTGCCAGACTGATGGCAAGACAGACCAATTCCCCATGAGCCTTCCATCCTGGTGTGGTGCTGTAGGATAATACACTGGACCACAAGGTAAGTTTGAACTGCAAGGTTGGTGGTTCAAACTCATCAGCCACTCCCTGGGAACTCCTTTACAGGGTAGCTATGAATTAGAACTGACTCCATGGCACTAAACAATTGTTCAAAAGTTCCATGCACCTTATTTGCATTGTTAGCAACTATCCCCTTGGTGGGCCACAAGCAAAATAAATTCTTTTCAAAGTCTCAACCAGTCATTGCATGGGCATTAGAAAATCATGCATGATGAAAAGGATCATGTTAAGTAATTCACAGCATCATACCTTTCTATCCCTAAATTGATACAGTGCTTGAAACAGTAAACAGAAGAGAACACTATTATTAATCAAATGAAATTAGTTGCTTAGATGTCAAGAGGTGTAACTTCTTGCCTCTTAAAGAGTATATTTTAATTTTGGTGAAAGATGAAACTAAACTTTCTAGCAGTGTGGTTTTAGTAGTGATAGGCTAATTGTGATGATAATATAACAATGATAGTAAGATAAGGTAGTATGATGACTGGTTTTCAGAACAATCAGTATCTAGCCTGGGAGTTAAAGACTGAATCACATTCCTGATACAGCAGTTCTGTGAAAGAGCTGCAAAGGGATTGATGGCAATAGATACACGCCTTTGTCCCTCCATTGTCCTCTTTTGTCAAGTTCAAAAGAAACCACTGTGTCCTGCTCTACACAGGACATTTTTTTAAAAATAAAAACCAATTTTGTTAAAAGTAATAGAGTTTGGGCAGGAAGACAGTACAAAAAATGTAAACCATCTCAACATGGCTACATTCAGCTCAGTCTGATGGATGCTCAAAGACAAATTTAAATGTTCTATGTTCCCCAATTAGCAAGATACATTAAAGAAATTCTATTGTATACCAACACTCTAATTTGATTAGGAAAAAGTTAATTTATTGAAGTCAATCCCAACACCAAATACTGGTATCATCACAAATAGCTGTAAGAATACTGCTGCCCCTGCTAACACTGGTTTGGCGAATAGCAGCAGCACATCTTGTATGAGTCAGTGTTGTGCACTTTTCTTTATAAGGATCTTCTACTTCTAAATCCCAAACATAAAGTTTGCCAACCTGATTGCCCAATGCAAGCGTCTTTTGCCGGAAATACATAGAAAGTTAATGTACCAAATGTCATACTGGCTGTAACCAAATTGCCCAAGAATAGTCACATTAGACTCATGGGATTTAATTTTATCTATATCATCTTCCATTTTGCCAGGCTTCCAGCACACAATGGCATTTTCACAAGATTTAGAAAATATCGAATCGCTTAAACATCGCACACAATTGACCTAATTCCTGTGTTTGTCTCTGACAGAAAAGTCGGGAAAGTGAATTTTCTGAGAAATAAATGGCCTATTAGTTTTATTTTGTTTATAATCATAAAAGTCCTTGATTGCATTCATCATTCTCCTTGAATTAATTCTCCAAAGTTTTAGAGAGTGATCCATACCATCATTTTTTCACCCAAAAGATCATAATCAGCACTTAGAACTTCATCTCTGTGCCTTCTTCACCTCCACTATGGCTACCAGAATGTCCATTCGGATATTCCACAATTGCAAAGCATGATCTTTACTTACAGACAGGAGAAGAATTGGATCCCTTATGTGGAATTTCAGTTCATTGACAGCATTTGCATGGCCAACATGGCGCTTTGTACACTGCATTATTATAGAATTAATGATTCTAATTGCGCCTCTAGATCAGCCGCAGCCAGCACAGGATGGCTTGTATTGCTAACATATGTCCATGCACAAGTGTAAACGTTTTCATCAGCATCCACGTAAGACTATAACAACCAGATTTCTCCTTGTGAGTAACATTCATCTAAGGTAACCCTGTTGCTTCCTACAGTTGCAAACACTAAAGGATCTCCTTCTTTACTATGCCAGTTAAACTGAGCTCCAAATAATGGTTGGTTATGACCTTCCTTGAGACTATTTACACATCTGAAAGAATATTTGTAATTTTTTTTTAACTTCCATTTTCCCTTTCACTGGCTTTTTCTCCCAGGTGCATTGGCTGTATTTGTAGGTATATCGGGCGTTCAGCAGTTTTACCACTTTCTATACGACAGTATCATTCCTTTCTGGTGGTGACAACCTCCCCACTCAATCATGCTTCTTCTAAAGGATCTCCTTCCTCTCTCTCCAGAAAAGTAGAAGAGGATTTACAAGAAGCAACACTTGGTGCAGAGCCCCAATGCCTACTTCATGGATTTGAATGTCTACGATGCTATAAAATTACCACAGTCTTTAGCCATGGACAGAAAAGTTATGTGTTGGCTATTCCACTGTCCTCAGTGATTATGGGGTTTATTAGGGAAGTGAACAATGTACAATTCAGGATCAGAACCAACTCAGGACACAGCAATTCTCCAGTCAGGAATGGCTTTGTTTTCCATATTGCAGGAACACCTCACTCTTGTCTTCAGTCTCTCAGTTAGGTCGTCCTTTGGCCTCTGTCCTGTTGGGCAACTGTTACAAAGTTCTTTTAGCCAGTCTGTGAATGCACAAAGGGCACATTCTTCAAGACAATCCCTACCCATAGGTCCTCAGTTTTATTCAGTCCATGGGTCTAGAGCCTGAAACTGCTCTGTCTCTCCATGCCACTGCCTCTGCCAGCACTGCTTCTGTAGGTAGAGATCTCATGGTCCACTCATGCCCTTCCCTCTTGATGGTCCTGGGATCTTTCCTTTACAGGACATGTTTTGTTTTTCTTTTATATTTTACTTTTAATTGAAAATGTGTTTTTGTTTTTGGTAAAAGTAGAATCATATAGTACCTTTGGATAACATCTTCACATTTCCCAAATTAACAAACAACATTAAATATTTTTACATCACTAATAACCTTCTCTATGTCATATTAAAAAAATTATGCTACTGAGTTTCAAGTGGCGGTTTTCAATGCAAAATTAGTTGCCATTTAACAATTTCTGTATGAATTGTTTCATGACATTGGTTACAGTTTTTATAATGTGTCAGCATTCTCCTTATTTCTATTCAATTTGTCCTGTTTCCATTAATCTAGTTTAACTGCTTCTCTTTGCCTTCTGGTCTTCTGAATAAATTTTGAATTATTTGGTTTTATGTAGTTGATTAAACAAAGAATTACATTGCTAATGGGTGTCATTGTTATTTAATAATACAATCTATGTTGGGCTGAAAGGGATCCTCCAGCAATGACTTCATGTTGAAGAAGACTATGTTAAGATGATGGTCTCAGGGGTTCGTTTAGTCTATCAGTTCCGTAAGTCAGACCTTCTTTTGGGATTATACTTTCATATAAGTATACTTTTTTGTGTAGCGTTGCGGGTTAATGCAGTAAACTGCAACGTGTTAAAGCCGGCAGTTCTAGCTCACCAGTTGCTCCTTGGAAACCCTGTACAGGGTCGCTATGAGTCGGATCCCAACTCGATGGCACTTAACAATTATAACAAATACTTTTTTTTGTGTGTGGTCACAATAACAGTAAAAATTTGCTCAGACCTTTGTCTTTCCAATAAAGAATAATAAACTCTGATTTTTTATTCCCCATAGAAAAAAATGGATTCAGCCTTCCAGAAGGAACTCACATACCGCATTTGCTTGAACTACCTGATGGACCCCATCACCATACACTGTGGGCACAGCTACTGTAGGCCCTGTCTATGCCTTTTCTGGGACACAGTCCCAACTGCCATTTGCCCCATGTGCAGAAAAACAGCAGCGCAGACAGAATGAAAAACCAATACTCTTCTGAAGAATCTTGTGAGCCATGCCAGACAAGCCAATCTGAGGCAGCTCCTGAGTTCTGAGGAACAGATGTGCGGGACAGACGGAGAGATAAAGACAATCTTCTGTAACGCCATCCAGAACCTGCTCTGTGTGCTCTGCTCTAAAACTCAGGAGCATAGGGGTCACAGGCATTGTTCCATAGAATGTGTTGTAAAGGATTACAGGGTAAGTGATGTGCTCTGAGAGCACTTTGAAACTTTGGGACTACTAGAGCTAAGAAATCAGGAAACTATAATAATGCTCAATTTACTCATTTCTAAGTCTAATATGTGTCTGTTACTATTCTAGGCACCAAGCATAAAGCTTTGAATAAATTAATGATTTTTTTTGAATATTCAGTATAATGCTCAGGACACTATGAAATCCTCAGTTTCAGATAGTGAAATATATGATCAAAGAGATTTGTATATTGGAATCATGTTTAGTATATTCAGGACCAATAATGTACTGGGGAAAAAAACCCTAGTGACATACTGGGTAAGCACCTGACTAAAGGGAAGGCAATTCAAACCCACCAATGGCTCCACAGAAACAGACATGACAATCTGATCCCTTAAACATTGAAGTTTAGGGTATAGTTCTAATCAGTCTTATAGGTGTTGCTGCAGGTTGGAATTGATTAGACATTATCATCAATATATCCAAATTCTGTAGTAAGTTTACCTGCAAATTATTTTATTTCATAAAATCTTCATTTGTCAGTTTCCTTAAATAGATGATGCCACTAAATTTTGCAGTTCTACAGCCAGAAATCCCTGAGAATTGTAACTATGGGTGGTTCAAACAAGGAAATATTATAATCCTTCAAATCTCCCTAAAGTATAATCTAATTAATATTTATTCATTGTGGTATGAAATCTGTAGTAACTGCCTTTCTGATACTGCTGTTCATGATTCCCTCCATTCTCCAGGAGACACTCTTAAGGCAAATGAGGTCCATATGGGAAATGCTTCAAGAAAATCAGCAAAATCTAAATGAGGAGAGCCAAATCATTGAAGGCTGGGAAGTAAGTGTAAGACTTTCTACAAAACCAGCTTGTGATCGACATACTGAAAATTTGCCCCTAAGAATTTGAGCTAAAAACCATGGTGTGCAATGAGTGGCTTATCCATAGGGAAAATAATGTGCCTTTTCAATGTAAGGTAGCATGACTCTTAGCATTTGTAAACCCTGAGAAGAAGGATGGAAATTTGTATAGTACATCATGGAGTCCTGGTGTGGTGCTCTAGGATAAGCATTGGACTGCTCACTGCATAGACAAAACTACTTGACGACACTTAACAACAGCAAAATATGTGGGTATGTATACACTAAGTGCCATTTAGTTGGTTCTGACACATAGCAACCCAATATAGGGTTTCTAAAGAGCAGCGGATGACTTTGAACCACCAATCTTTCAGTTCAACTGACATTGCTGTTCAGAGAATTATTCTACAGACTACATCTGTGGAAAGAGAAGGTGGAGAAGCTCCATATCATCAGCCAAAACAATGCCACAGGCAGACTGTATAACAGACCATCTATTGTTCATATGTAAGTTCAGATTGAAGCTGAAGAAAATCAAAACAAATCTATGAGAGCCAAAATAAAGGACCTTGAACATATTCCACCTGAATTTAGAGATCATCTGAAGAGCAGATTTGTTGCATTAGATGCTGAAGACCGAAAACCAGAAGAGTTGTGGGATGACATCAAGAAGATCATACAGGAAGAAAGCAAAAGACCAAAATGGATGTGGGAAGAGACTGAAACTTGCTTTCCAGTGTAGAGATGCTAAAGCAAATGGAAGACGTGAGGAGCTGAGCAGAAAATTTCAAAGGTCAGTCAAATATTATAACAAAATGCAAAGACCTAGAGTTAGAGAACTGAAGAAAAAATTCAAGCCTCAACTTGTAATTTTGAAGGATTCTCTGGGCAAAATAATTGAATGATGGAGAAAGCATCGAAAGAAGATGGAAGGGAACGACAAATGCATGAAGTGACTGACTTACAAGGTTTCAAGAGGGAGTTTAGTTCAAAAGTGTGTGGGGTAGATAGAGCCCCCAATGAATACTTTTCATCTTATCTAGATGGGTCTAGTAAAAAGAGATGGTGATAAGATTCATATGATTCAATAGTGAGTAATTGTTATCATGACTAATT